TTGAGTGGGTTTGTCACTTCTCTACTTTCTCTCTTCTGTACAAATTGTTTCAAGCAAATGGCTCTCTTTTGGGCTAGTGATTCAACCCTCCATTTCCCCCTTCTTTTTGCCAAAATCCCGATCAGTCCATCAATATTATTTACGCTCTCAAGGTTCTTTGCCCTTTCCAAATTCTGATTTATAACTGTGGGTTAATAGAACTTCTTACCAGGCTTTCATCTCGTCCTGCACGCTCCTGTCTAGTGCCTGAAGCCATCTTCTTGTGCAGCCATGTTGCCATGCTGCTGCCCCGACTCCGATTCAGAGAGCAAATCTCCAACCTATGGGGGATCTGTTGCACTCCCTCTAGGTCTGATGAGCACCTGCTCCTTCTTTAACCCCACAGGGAGATTCTGATCCAAAAAAGGATCTTGGAATTGGTTTGTCAGACAGGGCTCATGTGAGGCTCTTCAGACCTCACACCCCCCACGTCTGTCCAGCTGGAGAACTTCCGGTTGACTCAGATGCACCAAGATTTTGAAGGGGTAAATTTTTAAAAAAGCTTTTGCCCTCCCTAGCTCCCAGGAGCACTCTGCACTCTGTTTTTTTGTGAAAAATGGGGGATGCAGAGAGTTTGGAGGTCTGCAAAGTTCCCTTGGGGGCCGGAGACGGCAAAAATGCAACACATGGAGGCTCGATCCTCCTAAAGGGTAAGGCTTTTTTCGGTCTCCACTTTTCTCTATCCCTCCCATAGCAGGACAGGACTAAACATATCTCTGCATGCTTTATTTTTCCCCCCTTCCCTCTGACTGGCGACCACACAGAGCTACTTGACCCAAGGAGCAGCAGTTGGCTCGCTTCTTCTCTTCAGTGAGGAGGGAAAGACAGACCCAAGGGGGATATTGAACTGCCGCCGCTGCGCTTGACCGGGAACAGCCCATTGGGTGAGAAGGGATGGGGATGCCTTCCATTTGGATTAATGGTTCCTCGCGGTGGCACCTGAGCGACAAAAGGGACGCCCACAGAAAACAACCCGGCAAGGCTGCCTCCTTGAACAACTGGGCTTGTTCACAGCCCTCTTTGCAACCCCGCTTCCTTAGTCTCAGGGTAAAAGCAGGTGCCAGGCTGCAGGGAGACGTGTGACCTGGCGCTCCTGCATTCCGAAGTTTCTTTTCCATCCTGCACTTCTGCCACTAGCCAAGATCCCAACAATGCCAATAGTTTTTCCTGGAGAGAAAGTGAAGATCTAGCATCCTGAGAAAAGCCTTTGTGGTGAGACCAGTCCTCTTTCCTTCCTCCACCCCCCTCCCCCAAACCTCCTGGATCTATCATGCAGTACTTATTGCTATTGCTGCTATTGTGCCCAGCTACCGTATCTCTTTGCTGCATGACAGACCCGAGCGAAGTGTGTGTGTGTGTGTGTGTGTGTGTGTGTGTGTGTGTGTGTGTGTGTGTGAGCGATCTCTCTATGAAGGCTTTTCCCAGGATGCTAGATTGGGAAGTTAAAACCTAGAATGGGATACAATCAAGCTTGAATCAAAGGCTCCTGAGAGCACTGCTCTGCCACCCGAAAATGCTATTACTGCGATTTCTGCCACCTGGAACCGCCCGAGAGGGGGCAGGCAAAGTGGGCACTGCAGAGATCGCGGTACCAGCGTTTTGGGTGGCAGCCTTTGTAGAGAGGAGATCATTCCTCTCCCTTCCCTTCCTCCACCCGCACCCCCCCCTTTCAATCTCTCCAGATTTGCTTATTGCTATTGTTGCTATTGTGCCCAGCTACCGTATCTCGTTGCTGCATGACAGATCTGGGCGGATTGGGGGGTAGTGGTGGAGGAAGGGAAGAGAAAAGATCTCCTCTCCACAAAGGCTTTTCTCAGAAACCAAAGTCTTTGAATCAAGCTTGATTGTACCCCATTCCAGGTTTTTAACTTCTCAATCTAGCATTCTGGGAAATCTAGCATCTCTGAGATACCTTTCGTTTGCAGAAAGAGGAGGAGGGCGGCGTAAAGCAGCGCCTCCTTAAACCAAAGCCTCTGAGTAACTGGGAAAGAAAACTGTGCTTTTCGGGTGGCAGTTTTCGATAGGTTCCAAGTGCGGCTTTCTTTCCCAGTTAGAGACTTTGGTATACTCCATCCTCACCCTCCTCCTCCTCCTGCAAGTGAAAGATGCTCAGAGACTCTTCAGGCAGCTCAGGGGAGTCAATGGCCACAATGACTTCACTCCCCAGCAATGTGAGGAGCCGCTGCCACCGCCTTATCCCTCCCGGGAGCTGAGAGGGGGAGCCCCGAAAGTGAAACATCTCTCCAGCTACTGCGATCTCTGCAGCACCCACTTCACCTGTCCCTTTTCCAGACGACCCAGGCGGCTACATTCATAGTATGATTTTCACCCTCTTTTTTTTGGGGGGGGGGGTAAGACCCAGATTTTCACCCTCTTTTTTTGTGGGGGGGAAGGTGCATCTTATACTCCAAAAAATACGGTACATCCCAGAAACAATATTTTTCCCTATTTGTTCATCATTTCAGATGAGTGACAAAGAAGTAGTTATTTTATTCCTTAATTCAGATGTAACAATGTTTAACATTGCCACAGCTGGCATTAATGTTGTTTCTGAACTGAGTAAGCTGCCTTAATGAATAGTAATTGAAAATATACAAAACTCTTAGTTTGTCTACCCTATCCTATGTTTCAAATCCATTTCAAATAAAAGTGTGTTTGTGTTCATAAATATGTTATGTAACTGATAGTAACAGATAGTACTTTCTATAATTTTAAATTTTATGAAAACTATTTAATAGATTATTCTATTCTTTCATTTTGAAAGGTGAAATTGTTGACCAAAGAATTAGAGGCTTTGAAAGAAGCTGGAATGAAAGCAGCAGAATCACTGAAAGTGGCAGAAGCAGCTAATTTGGAGCTTGAAAAACAAGTTAGATGCAAAGATTGGGAAATAAAAGCTAATACAGCCGTAAAAGATGCTCAGTACTGTATCATTCCACTCATTAAAAAAGGGGGTGTTTCCATTAATTTTCCTTCTTTTCTTTTCTATTTTTTTCTTCTTCTTCCTTCTTTTCTTGTATCTTGAAGAAGAAAATATGGGCTTTTAAAATATATTACAAAGCAGTTAGTCAAAGATGTCTCTGAGTTTGGGCATGACTCCAGAATCCATACATATCTTTTCCTTAACTATACAGTTAGTTCACCTTAATCCCATGACAAAATACTAACTCTAGATTGTATATTCTATGCTCATAAATTCAGACAATTTCAGGTTGACTTGTATAATACCTAATTCAAATAGTATTGCACGCTTTTTAAAATTAGAATTAGATGAAATTCTACTACAGCAAAGAACAGACATACTCATTTTCATATCTGCCGAGTTGTATATGAAATAATGTTCCTCATATAAAATTAAAAAAAACATTACATGTAGTCCTTAACTTATGACCACAATTGAACATACAATTTCTGTTCCTGTGAAATATTTAAGTGAGTTTTCCCCCATTTTACAATCTTTCTCGCCACAGTTAAATTAATCATTGAAGTTGTTAAATTAGTAATATAGTGGTTAAGTGAATTGACTTCCCCATTGACTTTGCATGTGCAAAAATCGCAAAAAGTGGTCACATCACCTAGGGACGCTACAATCATCATAAATATGAATTAGCTGTCAAGTAGCTGCATTTTGAACAAATGACCATGGGGATGCTGCAACAGTCAGGAGTGTAAAAAATGGTCATAGATCACTTTTTTCAATGCCATTGTAACTTTGATCAGTCACTAAATGAACTGTTATAAATTGAGGACTACCTGTAATTCTAAACTAGACAGAATATATTCTCACTTGCATGTATGATGCAGTCACTTTTTGTCCATTAGGTGGATTACAATGAGAAAGTAAAATTCAAAAATGGAAGAATAATTTCATCTTTGTATAGGAACCATGTAGCTAAAAAGGGTCTAGTCCCAATGTAATAATATATATTTGAATTATGCAACTTCAACCTTTTAATGTCCTTGAAGATGATTTATTTTGTATCAGAAAATTTGCTGATTTTATCCCAATTTTCTTAAAATATGCTTTGGCAATTACTTATCTTCAGACTTTTTCATAAAAAGCTTGATAATTTTATGCATTGCCTCTTTGTATAAAGTAAATTATTTTACTTTTCTCCAATGTTTGACAATGTAGGATACAGGATTTAGAAAGTAAACTTGCTTCAGTGCAGCTTGGCTGGGAAAAAGAAAAAGAAAAATTTGAGAGAAAGTAAGTTCTTTCAACATATGCCCTCATTTTATAAATATACTGTGAACATTGAATGTATTCATTTAATTAAAAGTCTACTTTTAAAAACCAACAATTGGTATATCAGTTTGTCTGAAGGCTTTTCTTCACTATTTTAGCATTTGGAAAATGTGTGTATGTTGCCGTTTTAGGACTGAATTTTTCCACATCAGCAAAAAAAAAAAGTACAAATCAGTTGTCAATTTTCTGTGAATTGCGTGTTTGATATCTTTGGTTTCATATACTAGCAAGACTTTTATCTAATAAGAGTGTAGTATAGTACAGTTCAGTACAATACAATAGTAAGCATTCCCAAAGATGCCTTTCCAAAGGCAACTGGACTTTCTTGGGTTTTTTTCTTGAAAAATTTCGCTTCTCATTCAAGAAACATCTTCAGTTCTGAACTTGTCATTGCTCCCTAGCATCAATTTATTTAGTGTTCTATTTTTTGAAAACCAAGAGAGAAAAAAGGAGGTAAACAAAATAAACTTTATTAAGGAAACCAGATTACATGAAAATCTTCTAAAAATGGTTATTTTAAAAACATTGTTTGTGTATCGTTTAGTTTCTCAAGCATTAACTTTGATCTCTTTACAATATCTGGAGAATGTACATAGCATAACTTTTGTAATCCTGTGTAGCTAATTTACCAAGGTTTAATTGGAGATCTAATTAAGTGTTTAAAAACTAAAGAAAATAAATTATCTTGACTTTCATTCATAGGATTGAATGAAACATGTGCTTATCATTGGATGAGCATATGTTAAAGAGCTGACAAGTTGCAGGTGTTCCGTTTCCCTTTTCTATGCAACCAATGAAAGACTAGTTGGCCTTGTGTTTCAGAAGAGATTGAAACAATTGTTTATATACTGCTGTATTGCAGTTTGTATATAGACATATGCAATTTTGTCTCATTTGTGATAATATTCAGATCAATATTACATTAAGCTCCTGTTTCCTATTCCAATGCTAGCATTACCATACTGGCTAAATTCTATGTTACTATGATTAAAATATGCCACCATTTTTTATCCCTGATTACTATATTTAAATGTGGATTATTAATTATCATCATAATCCCAACACCCAAGTGTGACTCGAGGTCCTTGAAAGGCAAGGTGATCAGACTTGAAAAGTTTTACTATATGTATGTTAAGTATTATGTTTTTTCCCCTAGTAGCAAGGATTGCAACACCCAAATAAAAACTGTCTTTTTGTGTTCTTTCAAAGGCATGCTACAATAGATCACTTTGCCAGAGAAAAGGAGGCAGTGATTGCTTCAATGAAACAAGCTCATGTTGAACAAACACACAGATGGAAAAATCAAATCCAAAAACTACAGACAAATAAGAAAACTTTGGAAATGAAATTAGATGAGGCTGAGTATAGGTTTAGAGACCAGTTGAGAGAAAAAGAGACTATAATTGAAAAGTAAGTATGGCTTGATTTGTCTTGGTCTGATTCAATCTAATGTGATCTACTATTACAGAATGATATTATCCATTTTATATTAAGGCCTTGTGCAATATTTGTTTTCAAATTTCCAATACATTACCAACAGTTAATGTGGGTTGTTTTATACTTTGTTAAATAAATACATGTAAAAATATTTTTTTAAAATACCTGAGTCAGACCACTTTAAAACCTGCTTTGTTGAGAAGCTACTTTCATCAGGTCATTCCACAATTCAGCTGAAAATAGCCGTTTTGAACTCTTCCACTATTTGTACTATTTCCATTCAGGTTGAGATGATAAGACCAACTTCCTCTTTAAGGACCTCTTGCAGAAGTATTCCTCTTGCAGGAGTATTATACCTGCATTAGAGCTGATTATTACAAAATTTGTATCACATTAAAAGCTCATATTTTAAGTTTTTTTTTTAATAACAGCTACCTTTGTTAGTATGTATCTTCTTTTTGTATGTGTCTTTATCTTTGAGGGCAAAGTGTATTATTGATGCATAAGTCATTGTGAGAGCATTTCTGTGTGCATATGATTTCCCTTAAAGAGACAGTGAATAAATCTGGTCTGAGTGATGCTCCATTTCCAAACAAGCACAGTGAAAATTAGGGTGGAAATATGTTGTATCTCTCCATTTGTTAATGGATTGACTCCACAGTACAAATGTGAAGACTCCACAGAAGTGGTTCAGTGCACTAGATTATGAAAATCATTATCTAAAAATTGGGGTAAAAATCAATATTCTCTCTCCATACTCGATGGAATAAATAGGGACAGTCCTGCCGTTCTGGTTTAGATTCCCAGGGCTCAAGGAATTGGGTTTTAATATGTAAAAATAGTAATCTGGAGGGATTTGGTTTGTTGTTTTTACTGCTTTCCAATGTGTAAATTTGTATATTTTTAAAAAATGTACACAAAAGAAAAAAATGTCAAGAAAGGATTCTTGGGACTTTCTGTACAGTAGTAATACTAAATTACTACCGTACTATACAGTAAAACTAAATTAAAGTCAAAATTTCACACACCAGCAATAGAGTCTAATTGATATATAGTAAATGTGTCTTTGATATGTCTTCAGCTTTAAGGCACTCAGCAGCTCTTAAAGGTTCTTAGAATAGCCTGAGAATGTGGCCTTTACTGAAGACAGATCAGTTGAAAGTATTTGCTCATACTTCATGTACTGAGTGGCAGGTCACATTGTGTCAAGATGCAGATTTATTGATTAAGAATATCACTTATGAATATATGTATGTATGTATGTATGTATGTATGTATGTATGTATGTATGTATGTTATATTTGTGCTGATAAATAAATAAAGGGAGACTAGTATAGATAAAAAATATCACTTATGAATATATGTATGTATGTATGTATGTATGTATGTATGTATGTATGTATGTATGTTATATTTGTGCTGATAAATAAATAAAGGGAGACTAGTATAGATAAAAAATATCACTTATGAATATATGTATGTATGTATGTATGTATATGTATACACACACACACACACACACAGACATAACAATATACAGACGTATACATAACATTTATTTTTTGTCAACCATGAACTTACTGTGCTTTTAATAATAAAGAATACAGTATGTTTTTATATAAAATTGCACTGTTTGGGATATTTATATAATTTGTTTTTAGAGAAATTATGAGGATAATCTCTTGTCAATTTACTCAGAAGTACGAATCAGTTTTAGAGCCAGATTGATATAGTAGTTAAAGACACAAGGGTAGAAACTAGGGAGATAATGAGATCTAGTTCTGCCTTAGGAATGAAGCTAGCTGGGTGACTTGGAGTCCATAATTCTCTCTCAGCTCCCGGAAAAAGAGAGCGGCAAACAACTTTGTAAATCTTATCAAGAAAACTTCAATGGCTTATATGCAAACAAGACTGACTCAAATGCATCCCCCCAAATGATGGCGAAAGGGTCTAGTGGAACTGTTAGAAAAGTGTGCAGAGGTTTACAATTTTAAAAGCAGAAATATACATTGTCTTTTCTTCCTTAAATTTATCATGTTTTTCTTTTCTTTTCTTTTTGAGGATCTCAACCTTTCTCAATTTTCACGCTCCTTTCTTCATGTATTTGTTCTGCAATGTGATCCTCATTCATTTTTTAATGTGATCAAATCCTTGTAATAAAATACACTTATTTTACCCCGGTCCTTTGCTTCTGTATTTTCATTCAGTATCAATTCATTCTTGACTATCTCTTCATGTTTTGCCACATACATTCTATATGTAACCCATTCTGACCACAATGAAATTAAGTTCATGTTTCACTTGACATAACTAATACTCAGAAATTTATTTTAAATTACCCTTTTTTGCTTCTTTCATGAAATGTAGCAGATCATATACTGTGTTTCCCTGAAATTAAGACAGGGTCTTATTTTCTTTTGACTCCCCCCCAAATGTTGCTTGGGCCTTATTATTGGGGAGGGGACTTATTGATTTGGGGTTGCTGCGTGGCTGCTCTCTTGCAAGCGGGCGCCTGAAGAGCCGGGCACAGCTTCTGGGGCAAACAACTGCATTGCGCTGTAGCAGCAGTGCAACACAGCAGCCATGAGGTGACCACATTCACGAGCAGCTGCCCGGCAACCCCCCTTTCTAGCCGAGCAGAGCGCCATTCACCGACCCAATAATATCCCAAAGGCGCTAAGCCGTGTGGCTCTTTGCCCAGCTGGAAAAGGAGGTTGCGCAAGCGCCTGTTCTGCCCCAGCTCGCGTGCCTCCCAGCCTCACCATGCCCTGGCTCAGTTCTCCCTGCATGGCCAGGGTGCTGCTGCCGCCGCCGAGCTCTGACCATAACCAGCTTTCAAATTCCGGAGATCTGCTGCTGAGTCTTCCGGCAGCGGCCGCTCTGGGGCTACACTCTATGGTGGTGGGCTGGCTGTTGGAAGACTCCGGCAGCCGGTCCATAACAATAGAGCATAGTTGGAAGACTCGGCAGCAGATCTCCGGAGTTTGGAAGCCGGTCATGCTTGAAGCGCGGTGGCCCTGCAGGGAGAGCTGGGCCAGGGCATGGTGAGGCTGGGAGGCACGCAAGCTGGGGTGGAACAGGAGCTTGCGCAACCTCCCTTTCCAGCCGGGCAGAGCACCACCTTGCTTAACGCCTTTGGGATATTACTGGGTTTGTGAGTGGTGTTCTGCCCAGCTGGAAAGGGGAGTTGCCAGTCAGCTGCTTGTGAGAGCAGCCGCCCGGCAACCCCAGCTCCAGCTGGGCACAGTGCCACTCACCAACTTAGCGGTATCCCGAAGGCAGCAAGTAATGTGAGCGCTTTTGCCTCCCCTCCCCGCGGCTCCTCAGCTTGGCGCCTTCGGGATATCGCTAGGTTGGTGAGTGGCGCTCTACCTGGCTAGAGGGGGGGGTGTCCAGGGGGCTTATTTTCAGGGGGGGTTATATTTTTGGCCACCTGAAAAATGTGGCAAGGCCTTAGTTTCAGGACAGGTTGTATTTTCGGGGAAACACAGTACTGTTCACCAACTTTCTATCAATGATTTGTACATTTTAACATTTTTTAATTAGTTTTCCCATCTGTAGTAACCATTCTTCCAATTTACACAAATGTATTTGCTCCATTTTTTTTTTTTTTTGGCCATTTGCTGATATGTGTTTTTGCAATCCATTTTTCCTGTAGTTTTTGCATTCACCATTATTCCTTTTAATTTTGTATAAGGAATAGTAATATATTCTTGCCATCAGTCATGGGTACAGTCTTCACTCTTTCTTCTATTAGGTAACTTTTTCATTTCCTTGCAAAATATTTTTATTACCATCAAAATCACTTTCCCTTTTTTTGCCTTTTGAAAATTTTAATTGTGCCTTGCTCTTTTTAACTATATTCTTTGTAATTTTTTTCTTCATACACTTTATACAATATTTTTCTCCTAATTTTTGGTAGCAATCTTTTCATTAATATTTTGTTTCACTTAATAATTTCATCAAATCATTTTTCATATTTCCAATAGTGCTAATATCTATGTTTCTATTAACTTATTGACATGGTTCCAAGTGATATCTACACCCACTTTCCAGTTATTTGCTAGGAATAACTTTTTTTTTCTTTTTTAAAAAGAATAAATACATTCTCCCTTGCAGCTGATCTTTTTTTTTTCATTTTTCTTCCTCTTCCATATCTACTTCCCCTGAAACTTTCTTCCCAAAATGCCCTATCTCACACAGAGAATCCTTGAACAGTCTTTTACCTTCATTACTTTTATTGACTTGCATGTATGGATTAATAAACAATCAAAGCCACCAATTCAAAGCAAAATGGAGTTTTTCTAAGAAATACAAGGTCACCATTCTCATTCATTTTTTTGGTCTCAAAATCACCAGTTATTATTTGTCTTCTCTCTATCTCTTCTTACCAATCCATTCATATCATTAACAACTTTTTTTAAAAAAATCAGAATTATGTACAATTTTCCCCAAACTCACCTTCCTTTCTCACTCAATGGAGCATATCACTATCATCAGTCTATGAATTTGTAATTCTGTATGTATCAACAATGCTCTAGGATAAAGTACTAGTCGATTCTTTCTCACATAAATTTTATTACATTATGGGAAATATCACATTAATTGGGGATAAAATCCCAAATTCTACAGTTGACTCTATGCTCATGAAACACATTTTTCATATCCAGCCCCACATTCAGATATTACTTTCCTATATAATGGATGGATGGATGGATGGATGGATGGATGGATGGAT